TTAATACACCAATTCGCATATACCGCTTCCTCACCCAACGCTTCCTCGCTGATGCCATTGGCCGAGACGTTGCAGCTATCGTCCTGGCCGCATCAACCCGACCATACGCAGAAAATCTCAACGCGACAGACTCCGGATATGCTGCCTCCTCTCACACGACTGCTGACGATATTCCGCCATCGCCAGATTCATCCTCCTTGGTCCAACCCCGTTCAAAATATTACGAACAACAATCCCTTCTCGAAAACGAGGAGCAAGAATGGCCTAAATCCGTACGAAAGCAAAAGGAACATCCAGACGTTAAGGAGCGAGAATGGTTAGATGATATCGTCTTGGATCCTCGCATTGCATCCCGCATGCGCAAATTTGATCTCCCCGCCGAAGAGGAAGAGAGAGCGCAGCGGATCAGTGAAGGGACGGAATGGATTCGCGGGGAGGACATGCCTGTTCATATCCCGGCTTGGAAACGGATTTGGAATACATATGGATGGGGTGAAGAAGATGATGGACGGCCGAAAGTCATCATTGGGAACTTGGATGAGGTGGATGGGGAGTGATAGATGGTTTTGGTTGGTTCGATATAGCATTTGAAGGATGTATTCCGTACATTTTCATCTCGTTTACCTATCTGCATATATGGGCGCATATGTTAGATATCCCGTGTACAATAGAATATAATCGTTTCCCGTTTTATGTCTCGTTTTTTTTCAAACATGGATGGGTGCTGAGCCTAGTGGTCATGTAGGCGCTGCATTTCATGATCGTAGAAGAATAAATGTTGAGAATAGGGTGTAAGTCGGTATGCATTTTCCTCCGCCCTATATCCTGCTATATTAGATTTCGTCTCAAGCACGAAGTGAGCCCTGTCTCACATGTGTGATGTATCAAAATAAAGCTTTGCACAGGATAGCTGCCTGGCAATTTAATTTACATGGTGAGATAAATGTTCCCTCTCGAGTCTCAACATATAATGGGTTTCGCAAGGTCCGGATATGTTGCACAAAGAAATTATTCCAATGACGGAAAATGGAGCAAAAAATCTAGGTATTAAGTCAACACACATCATGATTTCCGTTTTTTGGCTATCCCAGTGCACCACGCAGTTTGCCGTTAGGAAAAACATGAGACTCATACTCAAAAGGTTGAGACCAAGGTTGCTTCTAAACATAATGACATTGTGAGAGAAAACATGAAGGAGTAGAAAGAGATGTAGGAATAAATGGTCAATATATTTTCTCCACGTTGTGTGACAAGACTATAGAGTTGATGGATGAATGAAGCTGTAAGACCTCATCGTTTCTTTTTCTTTCTCTTGTCGTTCATACCTCTACTGGACATGCTGCAGCTGGAATGCCGATGCTTCGGCCCATCTCTTCTGAGCTTGACTTATATATGCCATCTTGGCATCCTGACCGCTGTTCCAGTCGTCCAGAAGTTGAAGGCCTGCGAGGGCATCCTCAAGCGAGGTGTTTTTGAAGTTAACTGTAGAGAGGAGCAGCTCCTCTCCCTGGGATCTCGAGTCAGGGTTCAGGAGCTGGCGGACTGATAGAGCGGCGTGGACATGTGGAGCGCTAGAGCTGTGGGTGGAAAGGAATGATTCGTTCCACTTTGTCAGGTCTTGGGTTTTTGGAAGCAGCGGATCAAAATCCGCGTTAATGACCTTAGATATATATGAGGGGAGGGGTTCGGATAGTGTGTCAATTGTTTTCCTGAAGCGGGCCATTTGAGTGTGAAGAATGGAGTTTTGGGGGTCGATGGAGTGGGCGGCGAGCAGACACTTTAAAGCAAGGAGATATTTTTCTGGAGCGTTGGAATTAGTCATAGAAAAACGATTTTGGAATAAAAGATTCTACAAACTTACTTCTTCTGAGGTACACTTCAAAGCCAGCTGTCTGCGCTTCTATATTGTTGGGCGAAAATTCTAACAATGGAGTCAAGAATTTCATGGCATCTTTTAATGGTTCGGGGGTCTGAACAAGTTTTGCTCCCAGCGGGTCAGGGTCCTCCTTCTTTGCTTCCCCGTCACCTCCTTTAGTGCTGCTCGCCTTCTTGAGGTCCCGTTTTTCCGCTTCCGCTTTCTCAAGCCTCAGCTGCTCACGCTTGGCTTTCTTGAGAGCTTTCTTTCGCTCCGCGCTATCGACCTCTCCCTTCTGGTCCCCATTTATGCCACGAGCGATTGGGCCATGAGCTAGATCTGGTTGGTCATGGAGTAATATATAAGCTTTGACAGCGGCGAGGGCACTGCGAGCATAATATGGGTGATCACGCAGGTGGTCTTCCCATCGTATCATGTCGACATATGCGCGGATCATTCCTTTCCTTAGAGAAAAACTGTGGAAATCGAATTGGTCTTCATACCATACATCAAAAATATGGTGAACGGCGTGGAATCTCTTCAGCGCGAGTCCAAGTTTTCTTTGACGTAAGTAGGACTCTCCGTCTTCGGTCAGGTACCAGACGCATTGCATCTCGTGAAGGTCGCCGAGCGCCCCACCCACTGTTTCGTTACGAGTAAATTTACTCATGTTGTCAAGCGCTTTTTCATTTTCATCGTTCCGGAGCTGGTATTTTGCTGCTTTGGAGTTAATATAACGATCTTTTTCGTCCAATGACCGCGCCTTTTCCATAAGTTCGGCTGCTTTCGGGATGTTGCCATAATGTTTCCATATTCTGGCCTTGGTCATATGATAATCCACAGATTTTGGAGATAACGCGATTGCTTTCTCGATATACTCAACGGCCTTTTCCAAGTTGCGGCTGAGATGATAATTGTAATGTTGCGCAAGAAAATAGTAAACCGAACTTTCGAACAAAGAAGCGTCCCCGTTAGTTTGTTTCTCTGCTGAACCATTCATTTGCGACCCAAGCTGGCCGCTTGCGTATCCTTCAGCAAGTTCCTTGACAATGTCCTTCTTATTACTGTTTGTATATAAAAATTTGATATTCGCAAAAGTAGATGGTATTCCCCTGCGAAACATTCGTTCAAGGTAATTATCCGCCGCTTCTCGGAAATCCTGGCCTTCCAAAAAGTCCAAAGGAATTCTGCGAGTGGCATCACCCCTTGGATTTTTCTCGGCCCATTCATCAAATATGGCTCTCAACGCCTCATGGTCGGATTGATCGATGCCCTTTGCTTTGATTAAGGCTTCATAGTAATTTGAGTTTTCCGAGTTCCTTTCCAACAGAGCCTCATAAGCAGCCGCCGCTTCCTCTTTCCTCCCAAGTCGCAATAGATAATCCGCACGCATTTCCATTACTGCAAGGACATCGAAACAGCTATTGCCCACTTCTTCTAGATGTTCCAGCGCTCTCTCAATGTTCCCGGTCTCAGCAATTATAGAGTTTTTATAGAGGGCAGCTTCCGAATGATCCATATCCGATCTCGGCGGAGGCGTTTTCAGAGTCTGCTCGTAAGTTGTAAGAACGTTTTCAGCCTCCGCCAAATTTCCCGCGAGGTGATGAGCAATGGCCAGGGCTGTCCAATTTTGGCGGAAACCTGGTTTTTGTTGCAGCATAGTCGTCCTACTTTGAATGTAACCTTGGTAATCTCGCATTTGGGCTTGGAGGAGAGCCAGATCCCGCTGTATAGCTTGAGACTCCGAGTCAAACTTAAGAGCGGTCTTGTAAGCTTTGATGGCTTCGTCATAATTCTTCTCCGCGCGATATAACAACCCATAGACATGCCAACAGATGTGGGATTTGAAATGATTTGTAATCGCCAGCCTTGCCAATGAAAAAGCTTCCTCTTGATGTCCTTGATTGCTGAGTATCAAGGCTTTCATGGCTTGAGTTTCTCCATGCTTAGGGTTTCTTCGGAGGACTTGATCCGCAGCCTTTATACCTGTGTCCCGCGGAGTCAGAAAGCTGCGCAGGTAAAAAATTGGCCATAAGGTAGTCACGCACCTTTTTTATACTGTCTACTTTCACAATGGCGGACGACTTGACGGAACAGCGACTGGTCCTTTGTACTCAACGGGGGGGGCTCCATTACGATTGGCTTCGGCTGGACGGTTTTTAGCCGTCCAGTGGTAAGGGGATAAATTTATGATGGCGTCCAAAGCTTGCCCGGAGGAAGTAGGAGTTAAGAGGAGAGGGAGCCGCTTCAATTGGTAGAGATAGTGGCAGTTAGAGGAGCATAGTCATGAAGGCGGACGCCATGAAGTCTGCAACGTTATCCAAAAATGCTTGCTGGTGGTGAGGCTTAAAAGCATTTTTTTTCTTTTGGAAAGGCCGATCATGTGACAATGTGCCTTCGAAGCTCCAATTCACAACCATATCTCTCTGCACCTGCCCGCCCAAGTATATTGGCCTGCGGTTAGAATATGTGGATTACGCGAACAGAAGTTTTGCCCTTGTCCTTGTTATGAGATTAACCATGTGTAACGTAATTTTACTTTGGCACATATCAGTGAATCTATTTAGATGCCCCAAGCCCCGAGTTGAGGAGGGGAGATGTGGAGCTATTTCGCAAAGGAAACTCCTTCGCACCTTGGCGTAACCAGTTGTTCTGTTGTCTGTTCCTCCAGTCCCTTGGATTGAGTTGGACACTGTGGGTTCTGATGATTGACCCAGGCTCAATTTTGTCAATCTGAGAACCCATACTATTTAGAGTATGCGTGCTTCATTTTTTCTTGACCCATGATTTCTTATATTCACGTTGACCCTGAACCTAATGATGGATGAAACGGGCGTCTGAAAAAGGCGGGCAACCAGTGTCAATATCCTTCAATCATATGGAGTGACTACTAGTTCTCTCATTCAAGCTCAAGATAAAAAGAAGTTCAAAATTTGAGGTTATTTGTCGCTCAATAACTTCAGGTTAGTTCGAACTTGATTGAAGTGTATTTTATATATCTCATGAACAATTTTTCAAAGAATACCGGGTTACGAGACTGATGTTTAGAATACAAGCAGTTATCAAGATATTGAACTTGGAGGGTATTTCTTAGTTCCCATATAGTGGTGGTGTGCATCATGGTCGCAGAATACCTGACCGTCCGGAACCTCACACCAACAACACTAATATTGAACCATGTTGATCGGTTCCTGGTCCTTAACGTCCTAAAATGCGACACTAAACAGGTGAAAAATGAGTTGAAGAACAGTGTGACCGGATCTGCAGCAGTTGCGGACACCTCGACGCAGAATTCGGGTCCTTTTGTTAGACAGGACGTGTCAATTCGGATCGAATCCTTCCACTCTGTGAAAACCGGGCTTTTGACAAGTCAGATAAGGAGCGTTTGCAGCTGATTTTTGAAGCGGAAGGCGAGAATGATCAAATTCAAATCACTGCATCCACTTGGGAGTCCGCCACGTCGAAACCGCTTGTCGACAGTCCCCGTTTCCGATTTACTGGAATTTATATAATCCCGGAATCACACCTTGCGATATACCCCTGTGCCAACCTAAATGCTTGGATGCGCGAGTTCACTGATGAAACGTATCTTTCTGCCCTTTCTATTCCCGGTACGCATAATTCCTCAGCATACCATTTAGCTGCACCCTCAGTCCGTTGCCAGGCTGTCAGCTCTCGGGAACAACTAGAAAATGGCATTCGATTTTTTGATATTCGGGTGCAGCCCCGATTCCCTAACGAACCAAGCAAGGACAAACTGCTGTTTGTCCATGGCGTATTCCCAATCTCTTTTTCGGGACCCAAATACTTGCGCGACCTCGTTAGCGAAGTTGAATCATTCCTCACGGAAAACCCTTCTGAAACTCTCATTATGTCCGTGAAGCGGGAAGTGCCGGGGAAACACACTGATGAGCAACTTAGTCGCATTCTCCGGGACCACTACGCGTATGACGGGAGTAAGTGGTACACGGAGCCTCGTGTCCCATTGAAGAAAGAATGTGGAGGATTGGGCTGGGGCATTGATGCTGAAGACTTGCCAGATAACACCCCATATTCAGTTTGTCCAAGCGGAGATTTATGCATTCAGGACTTCTACCGGGTACTTGATAGAACGATGATTCCGCGGAAAATAGACTATGTTAATTCTCAATTTGAAAGGGCGGCGGAACTGCGCAATCCATTTGGCATCATCGGGGAAAATAGAGCAAATAATGATGATCGTGGAGATCACGAATTTCCTTTTTATATAAATTTCCTAAGCGCGAGCAACTTTTGGAATGTTACGACTTGGCCGGAGAAGATTGCGGCAAGAGTGAATCCTGCGGCGGTGGATTATTTGTGTCGCAAGCATCATGGGAAGAAAGGGGATTGGTCTACGGGAATTGCAGTGTGCGATTTGGTTGGATTAGGCGGGGACTGGGACCTCGTGAAGTGTGTCGTCGGTATGAACTCCAGGCTCATGATGCAGCAGAGATAAATTGTGCCGAGCAAAAGTATGGACATTCTTCCCTTTGGATTTGGTTATTACACATGATTTTCGGAAAGTTGTCAACTTATTGTCTGGTTTGGTTACCAGTATTGGATAAAATGTCTGGTATATATTGTGCAATAGATATAGAGGCAAAAAGTCGGTATGTATCGGGAGAATGATACTAAAAAAAAATAAAGCAAAAACGTAGAAGAAAAGGGATCCAATTATCTCCTACTCTTTTGGACCATCTGCCTTCCCTTCACCCGCGCTCTGAACACCAGTCTCAGGTCCCTTCTGCTCTTCTTCCAAAACACTCCTGCGGCTCTCGAGGGTAAGATACAAACTCTTACCCGCCGAGTCCAACGTCGTAGTAACACTTGCTCCAGCTCCTTGCCATAGCGACACAAGCTGAGATCTCAAACCAGCCATGCCACCCTCGATTTCACCAACCCATCTTGTTTGATCTTGGTCGAACCACCTTGCCTTTCACTCTCGCGGCCAACTAATATCAATTTTCTTCGATCCTTCTGCACAGGCAAGTCGTACAGACCGAGGTTCGCCCTCCGTCCTGGAGCAGGGAACTGTGGTGGCTTGGGTGCCAAAATTGACAGTGCAGCTTTCAAATGTTCAGGGGAAACATAGGGGAAGCTGAGCACAGCAATCGGGCCAACCAAGATGTTGGAGAGATCATGATGTCCCTTTTTGTCGAGTACGGCAGCGTATGCAGTGCGAGAGAGATCGTGTGTTAAATTGGGGTCAGCTTTAGCGGCTGCAATTTTACCAGGGCCGCGAGGTGTCTTTTCGCCGGGCCGGAAGAAATCCACAACACGCAGAGCGACCTCGAAAATTCTGGTTTGGATGATTTTTAGTTGGACGAGGGAGGCTATGGGAGGCTCATTTCTGCCTACAGCAGCGTTTGTTTCGTCAACTTTTTGCAAAGCTTTCGTAAGCTCGCGACGGATGCCGGCCCATTCTACGGATTGAAGGTTGTTATGCTGGAAGATCAGGATCAATGGTGTTGTGCGGAGCAGGGAGGTGTATTGGCGGTGGAGCTGGGATTTGCGGAACTCGGGCCGGCGATGCGATGAGGGTTGGTATGATGGGTATGCAGCATCAGGTGACGATGCGGATTTCGATTGGGATGTTTGATTTACCGTTGATGTCGTAACGGCTGCTGCTGCTGCTGCTGTGCTAGCATATCGTCGAGGATATATGTGGACATCATGCGGAAGCGAGCGTGAGAGGACGGAAACGGAGAGGCGCAATCGAGGAGGCTTTGGAGCGGAAAAATGACAATTGGAAAATTTGAAATGAACGTAGAATCGTCAAATTGTCAATGCTATGCAATTGCCATGTGTTTCATAATTGGAGCCCGATAAATATATAAGCCGATAAGCTCTGTCTGGTAGAGAATATTTTTTTAGGTGCAGAAAGTATTTTGGTTGCTATCCAAGGCGGTGAATATTCTGCCAAGCTCATTAGTCGGACAAGTAGAGGATGTGAGTAACCATTGCGGGGCAACATTACGAGAACGAACAATTGTTCCTTTAATTGCTTTTGTTATTTCTTTTTACTAGATGCGAGTTTGTCGCCTGGATCCTGGCCGACAATATTCTGCATATAAGGGGGAACTCGACAGTAACGCGGCTATGGCGTCGGACAATCAAGGCTTTTCGATTTCCATCTCGCCGCTTCTTACAAGGCTCGCATATCCAGATGCAGCCCCATATGAGGTGACAGCAGGGGAAATCGCTGGTGCCTTTTCTCTCATCTTCGAGAATAAATTATCTCTCATTCAGACTGCTGCATTTCTCACCCTCTTACATTCAACTGGCAAGGATAGGGATGCCGATGTGTTAGCCCAATGCGCAGCTCGAATGAGAGAGGCTGCTGAGTCAATTGAACGAACACCACTGTTGGCGCTGGCTAAGGAGCGAGATAGAAAAGAAGGAGCTTATAATGGTGGCTTTGTGAGTGAAAGAATCAATGAAAATTTTTATTCTAGGGAATAAGTGAAGCAGCAAGCTAACAGCACGTTCGGTGGAAGTGTGACATTGTTGGGACAGGAGGAGATTCCCACCGCACATTCAACATCTCTACGACCTCTTCCATTATAGCGTCGCCATTGCTAATGATTGCCAAGCATGGAAATCGGGCGCAAACGTCGTTCTCGGGTTCTGCGGACGTCTTGACATCGATCACTCCGACCCCACCCAACATATCTGCCGTTCGACCAGAGAATGTCTTCAAGGTGTACGAGAAGTCAAATTACTGCTTTTTCTTCGCTCCAAATTTCCACACTGGCATGAAATTTGCAACTCCCGTTCGAAAAGGGCTGGGTTTGCGGACGATCTTTAATCTCCTTGGACCACTGGCAAACCCAATTGATTGGGGTATTGAAGCTCGATTGGTTGGCGTAGCATACAAATCCCTGGGCCCAATATTCGCAAACGTTCTGAAGCTCAGCGGGGTTAAAAAGGCGTTGGTAGTATGCGGCGAAGAAGATTTGGATGAAATTAGTTGTGCTGGAAAAACTAACTGTTGGAAACTCTCTGAATATCTCAATCCTGAATATCAAGGCGACTCGGATAGCAATCCCGAAGATGACGAGACTTTGGATGAGGACGCGCCGTCCAAGACGTTGGTAAAAATCGAACACTTCCAGCTTCAGCCTTCGGATTTTGGGTTCTCTACGCGCCCACTTTCAGAAGTTGGTGGAGGCAAGATGCCGAGCGAAAACGCGTTGATACTCATGAGTATGCTCCGCAACGAGATGCCTCGCGACCATCCCATCTTGGAGTTCGTGCTCATGAACGTTGCGGCTCTCTTGGTTATATCTGGCATCTGCGACGCTGATACAAGTAATATGGGTCCTGGTGACAATGGGGAAGTTATAAAAGAGGTTGGTCCAGGTGGTGGACGCTGGAAGGAGGGTATTCGGCGCGCGCGGTGGGCGATCGAAAGTGGGAGGGCACTGAGCAGCTTGGAAAAATTCATAGAAGTATCAAACTCGTTGTAACTGGAATAAGGAGGAAATTGGGAAAAAAATGTTTTTTGGTCATATCTTTTCGGGTCTTGAATGGACCACGTTGTATTTATTGATATTAATATCCTTTTTTTTTCTCCTTCAGGGAAACTTAACGGATGAGTCCCTTGAAGGATGACAACAACGCTGCGCTCGGGTATGATTTCAACTGGCGATGCGACAATGAACGATGCAAGAAATTTTTATCATGATTACTATCCGAGAATTCCCGCTTCCCATCTGGCGACAAAGCTTTTTCTTTTGGTCATAAAAATCAAAATCAAACGTCCACTCCTTAACGCCATGCCGAAGCTGTTGTGAGCAAACAACAGCGTAAAAAAATGTGAAAAGCACACCCTCTCCTGCAATAACCTGATTCTCATGATCGCCTATGGTACTGTGGAAATGCCGGTAAGGGAACGTGGGTAGGTATCATCGGGCTTGAAACTGCACCATTCTGTACATGCACAAGATGGCACCTGTTAGTTTCTAAGGGTCCTGAAAGCTTGTATCGGAAACAGGAGGGAAACTGAAACGAACCTCTTAGTCCTCTCCTTATACAGCACACGATGCCCACATTCCTTGCAGCGGATCTGATCCCCACGCTTCATGGAGACGCGGGAGTTGCAATCACCACAGACATAGGTTACGGAAACCGCATCGTTGGTGGTTCCTTCGACGATACCGGTTGCGCCAGTATACCCAGTTTGGCCTGTGGGAACTTTGTAGGCTTCGCGAGACATGGCTGTTAATGGAAATAAGTGATATGCGCGTGAGTGGGGAGGAGACTCTGGAACGTGTGATGTTAAGTTGGAGAGAAGCTTCTTGACATCGAGAAGTTTTTATGCTAGACTTCCTATTATGGACTAGCACATCCGTCCATTTGGCCGTTGTCATGTGATTTCGAACGATAAATTTATCGAGGGCTTGAGACGTCAGGTCACCTAACAGCTTAGCGATCCAATTACACATCTCTGATTAACTAGTTATATCTATATCGGTTTGAGTGATGGTGGATCGCAATTCGATTCTTCATATTTAGTGTCTCCAAGATCCAGCTTCTGTTTGTCAAAGGGGTTACTCATTTGAAAGCATGTTCTACGCTAAGTTCAGGTCCATCCAGGGTCTTCATCCGGCCGCTTTGGCCATTCGCTCCCTATTGACAGGAACTGCGCTCCTAACGCTCTCCTACCGCGTGCATAGTAGACAGTTTGCGTTATGGAGCACCCATTAAGGAATGGTGGCTTCCGGCTGCTATAACATTTGTTTCAGGGCTACAACGCTCGACCGGCTCTCATGGATACTAGCACTTAGTATTCCTCCTTCCTTAGGGGAATGTGGCAAGTCGAAGGGCCTTGCACTGGAGAGGAAGAGTTCCTCCTGCTCTCCTTCCTTGGTATGGCGGTGTGTTTGTTACTGCTGCTATTGTTATTATTGTTGTTTTGTTTTGTTTTGTTTTGTTTTGTCTTGTCTTGTCTTTTCTCCTCTTCCTCCAACTCTCCAGAGTTATTATTCATCTTCGTGCTATGTGCCCATGTCTTGATACTGCCATCATTGACGGAGACCATATCCTTTATCCCAATATTCTTCCGTGTATTCTTCTATATCGTCTCTCTTGTTTTGTCTACTCTAGTTCTATATACTGTGTCGGTTAAAATAAGTTTCCCAGCCGATTGGAATCGTGGTTAATCACTACGTTCTCCATCTTACTGGTGCAAATCAAAGAAAACTCACTTGTCATTCGAGTTGAAATCGTATCATTTATGATGTCTCCTCAATTGCCTGCCGCCCCGGAGTCTATAGATGTCAACGCACCCGTTACGCAAACCCGGGAATGTTCGCATCATGGCACAGCAGTCCGGCGCAGGTCAGCCCGGCCCTCTCATCCACTTCAACGGTATTATAGTCGCCATAACTTTCCAAAGCCCATAAGGCACTCCGAATTGCGGTTCAAGGGTCGTAACTCTGCAAGACAACTACTTGGTCGAGATCTTTTTGGAAGGAGACGTGAACTCTACCATTCAACCAGTTCCGCCAGTAGTGGTGAGCAAGATGCAGCCTGTCTCTCTATCAAGCCATATCCTTCTGAGAGAAGCCTTCTCGAACAGCCCGCCAATATTCCTCAGATGGTTACGCCGAATGCTAGGGAAAACCCGTTTACCGACACTATGAGTGGCGCATTCAACTTTACAAAGTCTCCTCGTTGGCTGGGGAAAACGTTGGCTGCACCTGCAGCTTTCCCTGAAAAGGAGCCTTGGGTGATTAGGAACACGCACAACCCATTTGGCTCGGACACGATCAGCCACACAGATTCATGCCTTTCTGCGACTTATCCATCCCAGAAAGAATGTATGAGAACTCAAGCATATCAGCGGCATTATTCTAACAGTTTGGTGCCAGGTCAAAACCAATCTTATCCCATGACTGTTGGGTTTGGCTTAACTCACAGGCCGAGCACGACCGAAACAGACGAGTTCTCGCGATTGTTACAAACGATCGAATTACACTCACGACAATCGAAGGGCAGAGCGGACTTGGTCTCTAGCTACCTCGAGAGAGAGGCAAGCTATTCGGATATAAATCCAGAAGGCGGCGATGTCATCAACAAGTTCTTCACCAAACCACTCCGCCAGCTAAATCAGGATTCCGAAGGTAGCCTCCAAGTTGCGTCCCTTCCAGGCGGTGGTGACAGCCCCGATCCGCCTCGAACCCCATTCCGCGGACATATGATAGACCGTATCGATTCAGGAGGGGCCGTGGTCGGTTTAGATGAAAATAAAAGTGGCCAAGGAAGGGCTACAGCAAGTCATGAAAACATCCCCCAAGATGAAGGCCCTGGTATTGCTAGAGATAGTCAAGGTTCGTTCGTCAAAATTACTAGCTTTCTGGATTATTTGGGTACTGACGTGGCAAGGGTTAGTTCCAAACAACACTAATACCCAGAAAAGCCACCCTCCGGCGAGCTGTAACGGAAACTGTACATACTTTGCCATGCCAGTTTGTGAGCTTCTACAGGGTTCAGCTTTGAGCACGTCCGAGTTTGGAGGCTTTTATGATACGTTCGTTCCAAGCGTGGCTTCAGACAACTCGTTTCCGAGGAAAAGGCCAATCCCAAATATCGGAGATGCGTTCCAAAACAAGCTCGATTTACCCGCTGGCTGTTGCAGCCAACAGGCGAAAGCTTATACTGAGAAATCCGACCCTTCCGAAAAGCCTCAGTACAGTTCGAACTGCCGGGGATGCCGCCCAAAGAGAGTCAAAGTTGATCATTTCACAGGACAGCCCGACTCAGTTTACCAAATCGGCGTAGACCACAAACCGCTTGAGGCTCCTCTAACCACGCAAGGTCCCCGTCCGCACCACAGTGAAACGCTTTCTGAGATATCGCAGTCGTCAGAAAAGCCATACTCTGCCCCGACAACACCTGGCGACCAGCGGATGTATGGAACGAGGCAGAAAAAATATGTCGTCCCACCTCTTGCAGACATGCCACCAAACTGTGCCTGCCGACCCCATTGTTCATGCTCACCACCCTGTCAATGTGGGCAAGACACAAATGTTGAAATGACAATGGCAAATACTACCTCCTCACAACCACCTCCTGGGATATCAACCAAATCACTTACGACCAACTCACAAAGTTGCGCTTGTCAGCCTCGTTGTTCATGCCTACTGCCCTGTCAATGTGGCCAGGACGCCGATGCTAAAACTGGAAGAAGAAATACCTCCCTGTCTGTGCAACAACCACCCGGGACACCAATTTGCGCTTTCCCACTTTTTCAGATTACTCCTCAAGAGCCAGGTTTGCCTGTTAATGAAATACATTCTTCCCAAGTTCCCCAATGTAGCAGCTGTGAATTGCTGCAAACACAGGCGTAGGTGCGATTGTTGTGTGCCTTTTAAGCTTCCGCGACTTTTATGTTTTTTCTTGTCTGGTCATCGATTTCTCCATTTCCAGTTATGGCAGTGATTTTGCGACTGGCGCTGCATCTCAGGTAGTGTATTGCGATGTTGATCTCTGCAAGTTTCCTCCCACAAGAGCTGCGGTACGGAAGCCCCTTCCCCGAGTGGGTTAAACCTTTTCACTCTCTTTAGGATGTTATATTGTTTTTTGACTATTATTATTGACCACCGCAACTTTCTATGTCTTTCACTCATTGTATCCACATTTTGTATACCACTTGTTCGTTTCGTCGAGTAAGAGAACCAATTTGAATGTTTCAAAGACGCAACAGCGTAACCTCGGTGCTGGATTTCTATGAACAATTAACGTAACTTGCATGTAATAGCAGCCAACTGGCGAATTAACTGGAGCCTTTTGTAGTTCCTTTTTCCATGCTCACCTCGAGGCCACACGTCCCACGTTTCATCTTCTCAATCTTGACGGATTTTTCATACGTGATCAAAACACCCGATAAGACGAAGGGGAGAGGTTAGGGTATTGATGGCACAGCAATTCTATGTAAATGGAGATACATACTATCAGAGTAAAGCTGCCGTTGATGACCAGATAGTAGACGTTCCCTTGATCCACGCGCTATCTTGGCTAGCATGCACTTGTTGGCCTACCTGGCTCCACGCCCCTTTCGTTTCAAGAGCAGCGGCTCCCTGGCTATGGAAAACGAACATGAGAAATCCACCCCTTTTCCTCTCATCAATATAACTAGCACTGGACACCTTACTACTGAGAATTGAAGATGAACACAAAAAAGTTCATCGCCTAGTTTAGAGAACCAATCGATTAGATATAAATACGCCAAAATTTATAAATATCCCAGCTATTATATGCAACCGTTCCCGCCTCTATAGAGGTAAAATACTGTACATGTTGTGTGGACATACAAATGGGGCCGGACAAGGCTAAATGTATGCAAAAATATGAACCAAAAACACTTCCGCTGTAAAAAGGGAGAAGATGCGTTTGCTTGTTTCCATGGAACACAAGTCTTGCTGGCTTTTTTATTGTATATATATGTGTGAGAGAGCAAAAAAGACGAGATGTGAGCGTATATTGCGTCTACCAACCCCCGCCGGCCTTCCCAGCAAGTGCCGCAACTCGAGCCATAGCTCCTGCCGCACCCGAATCCTTACTTCTGCCCTTGCCCACGTCACTTTCTACCTTTCGGAAGGTGGTATAAACAAGCTTTTCCAAGGGGATATTCGTGCTGCGAGACCAGTGGGATAAGATATCGTCACATGTGTGGTGATCTGTGGCATCACTATTGTGTGACGGGTTGGGAGAGACATCGGAATCGGAATCGAAATCGGCCCAAAAATATGCATCATCGACTCGCGCGAGCCAGGCTCGCTGTTCCTGTGGTGCCAGCTTTTGCATAGACTGTTGATTCTGCTGCAGCAGCTGCTGCTGCTCGTTTGGCTTCAGCGTGTCGATGTCTCGCGCGTCATCGACGCGTATTTGACCACCACCATTCGTGCATCCGCCTGGACACGCCATTACTTCGATATAAGCATAATCTGTGGCTGATGTGCTACTAACTGTAGCCGCACATCCACCACCTGCCCTGCGACCTATCATAGGATTGGCGCCAGGGAGCCGTGATGCGCGAGGAGGTTTTAGTTTTCGGACTAGGTTTTGGATATTACGAAAACCGTAGTACCGAGCTGCCTTTATAATCGTATCACCTGACGGAGAGATCAGGGCGTATTCTATCACATCGGAATTTCGACCACGCTGCGTTTGGATTTGGCTTCCTGGGTTCCGATGTTGGTATGTTGTGAGGATGTGGTAGAGATAGCCCCCTGACGTGCCAGCAGCGGAGGGTTGGACGAACTGGCTAGATTTAGGAAATAAGAAAGGCGCAAAATAGGGATCAGGGAATAACGGGACAGATGGTGAAGGCAATGGCTGTAATGGGAGGTTTCTGAGAGAGATATTTCGGGAGGTCGCTAACATGAGGAGTTCGCGGGAAGTGATGACGCAGTCAACATCTCGCACGGGAGAATGTGATTCCGTTGGAGCAGATCCTTTCTGTGTCATAGATGAAGCGTCCTGCCAAGAAGCATCCGTTAATTCTTGCCGGCTAGCTTCCAGCTTTTTATCAAAACAAGGCATGATGGCCAAGTGCCAAATCTGTGCGGATGAGATATTCAATGCCTTGCTCAGCACGGTTTTCAACAAGGTCCCCGTAAGGGCTTGTGGGGATTTTAAGCGGGATATGTGAGGTAGGACATGTGGATGAGTCTTTTCAGCGTAACATATCCATCCTGGACAAGCGGAGGATAGAACTGGTCGCTTCGGGGCCGGAAAAGTTTCGATGAGGGTGTCCTTGGAGCTATTCAACGACTCCGTAACTTCGCTCACACTGAGTTCCAAGCAGACCTGCCGCATAACGTTTGTATCAATCACCCAGGTAAAGCCATTGCCATAGGCGCCTCCAGCCCTTAACCCATCGGGCCCACTGAGAAATTGCTCAATCAAGTATCCGGCTTCGCGCTCAGAAATTCCATACGTCGCGGCCAAGCTTGCTCTGGCCTGCGGGCTGACACTTGCAACGAATATCTTTCCACCACTTTCTGTTGTCCTTTGCTCGCCTTCTGCAGAGAAACCGGCATCATTTTCTCGTAACCTTTGAGCGTTACTGCACCCGTTCAGTTCGTCGATTCGTAATTCTGCGCACGAGTCCAAGGTATTAAGCACTTCAGCGTGCGACTGTAGGGACACTAAAACGGCCTCAGCTGATGTGACGCATCCTGAACATGCCAGACAATCCGTCAGGGAAATCTGCACGGAGGGTGGGTTGTCAGGATGGATCTTGTCTTCCCTTGCAACTTCATATACATCCTATTACCAAACCAACGAACATATGAAAAGCATGTCAGTGGAAAAGTTGATTTTCTTTATTTCCTTATGTATCTCGGAGACGCTAGGATGAGTTGAAAATATACGTACCTTAGAATTTTTATCAGCTTTTCGGGGCAACGATTCAATGGGCTTTATGCAGGCGACCCCTGGAGAGATGAAGTCATTTAAGTCATCTGCCGACAGAATTGCGCTCATGACGACGGTGAAACAACAGAACGACGCTGAGATGGTCGTAAAGACGTCTGACCAAATCTGTGAGCCCGAGCTATTGAAGTAAATGGCAATAGCTCTAAAGACAAAAATCAATAGAGATACAGCACAAGACAAACGATATAAAAGTATGTCGAGGCAAAAAAGATTCAAGCACCCGTTCCGCTGAGTAATCCGGCATTCGGCTTGGGCCCGAAAAGGTGGGACCAACCGTCCCCGCACTAGTATTAATCTGGCCTGACCGTGAGATAAGCTTTTTACGTCCGGCAGAATTTCTTATCGTTCTCACCGCCTTCAGAAAGCTGCCTAAGTGGCTGAGTCAGGCGCCCATACAGCCCGACGGATTGTTAGCATTCAGGTTTATATATTAGGCACACTGCTGCTCGACAGGGAGGGATTGAGTGCGGGGCGCTTTTAACCTGCTCAACTTCATTTTCAACCCTGATAAATATTGGAGATGGCTGAACCTCCAAACCGCAAGCTGGTGCAAACCGTGCTCAATCTCCACCCCGAGCGGAGAAGGGATCTGGGAAGCTCCCGCTCCCCATATTTTGTCCGCCAGTCCCCGAATGACGATACAACAGACGGACGTGCACAAAATGATTCCCAAGACAAGATGGAGGATATACAACCTAGCCCCTCGGCATTACAGCAACAGGGGTCATCCAGTGGCAGTATATCCACCATCCACGAAGCCGCTATACAGCGTAAACACGCAATCAAGGCTCGTCGCAAATACCTCTCCTCCATAGCCGCTGAAACCACCGCTTTGCTTCCGAATATTCTCGCGACTGCCCCTCATGCTCCTCCAAAAGGATACCTATATGCCCCTCCAAACCCGCCCCGTCTTTCCCCTCGCTTCTGCCCGAATCTGCCTCCCACAGCAATCCGCATCCACGATGCTGATACCTTCGACACAGCGATTGGCTTGGCGGAATGCTCCAAGTACATCACAATCAAGGACAAGAGGCCCGTCTGCATCCTAAACATGGCCAATGCAAATAATGCAGGTGGCGGCTGGAAGCGTGGGGCGTTGGCGCAGGAAGAAGCGCTCTGTTATCGAAGTAGCCTTAGCTTCTCGTTGAAGCTACGATACTATCCGATTCCAGAGATGGGGGCAATATACTCCCCGACGGTGCTGGTGATTCGGGCCAATATGGATGAAGGCGAACATAAGCTGCTCGATTTAGAGCAGCCAGACAAGCTACCAGTGGTCAGCGTGGTGTCCGTGGCAGCGCTCTGTTTTCCTGAAGTTAGGACAAGGGAGGTGCCTGGAGTGGGGATTAGGCAGGTTTATAAAGACCCTGCCGATCGGGAAATTATGAAGGAGAAGATGAGGGTAGTTCTGCGGACTGCAGCTGTGAATCAGCATCGGCGATTGGTACTAGGGGCTCTGGGTTGTGGGGCATTTGAAAATCCGAAGGAGGAGGTTGCGGATTGCTGGGGCGAAGTTTTTCAGGAGCGTGAATTCAGTGGCGGGTGGTGGGAAAGCATCATATTTGCTGTCATGGATGATCGTGATGAGGGTGAAGATGGGGATGGTAATTTTGGTGTGTTCTATAAACGACTAGATGGAGTCTTCGTTTAAGATTGATTTGTACCTAGATTCCCCTAACTCCTAGAGGAGAATTGTTTGCGCATACCCCTATGAAGAATCCCCTTGTTTTATCGAAAACCGACGGAATTAAGTAGAAAACTTGACAAGAAATGGATGCGGATGATCGGCCACACACCGTCAATACTACTGAAACAAATGAAATAACGAAACTGTTTAACGATTTCTTTCATTTGCTTAGTCAACCATCACATGCACCTGAATCCCTCCCTAATCACTTCCTCGAACGAGAGGATTTCCCACGCCTTGAAGATGATTCAGTTTGCGCAACAGCCTTTTGCTTCTGCCCGTGTGCCTCCTCATCACCTTCTACTGTCGGTTCAACTTTCGACTTCTTAGTTGCAGCTTTCTTGGTGGAAGATTCCTCCTTAGGGTTCTCTGCCCCTTTGTTCTCCTTTGCAGTGGCGCCTTTCTTCTTCTTAGGTGGTGGTGACTCATCAATCTCTGTAACCTCATCTTCTGCATCCGCTGCAACTGGGCCTGTTTTTTTCTGTACAGATGGCACTACGGCACTGGTCCGGCCCCCAACGGTGATGAAAACAATTTTGTCGCCATTGGGTAACTTTTGAGAACGATTCTGCTTTCCCTTGCCCCACCGATGCTTGAACAGCCAGTCGGCGGGAAACTTTTCGGAATCTCCCAGGAGATCAACTGACATTGAGCATACGTAGTTGATTGCGGAGTGGAGCTGTTCGATCTGAGCCTCTGGGATGGTATTGCAGTATTGCTCTGGGTGGATTTTGGCATGGTACAATATTTCATCCCTGATGGAAGATTTTGGTTAGTGTCATCCTTTCTATCCAGAAGCCTACATGGATCGAACGAACCCCATCCAATTGCCAATGCCACTGATATTGGCTTGATCAAGCAGTAAAGCCTTCATGGGAACTTTCTTGCTTGCCAACTTTTTCTTTAGCCAATCCAACGTCATGATATCTTTGTCCAATATGGGATCTGGCCCATTCTCCTTCAGCGGACTATGTTTTCTGATCTCGGCTCCAGGGCAATCGACCAACCTCACTCGTCCAAACCGCCGTGGATCGACGAATGCAGCTTCAGAATTCGAGGAATCATCAAGTTGGAGCCTAAATTTCCAGAATTTCGGCGGCCACACCGATTCTTCATTCTTCGGCGACGGGGCGGTTCGACTATAATGCGTGTTCACGTTTGTGAACTTCAGCCAACCAGTCATGCCAAAATGCATAACAGGATGGGGGGGCGAGGACATGATTATCCAGAAATATTTCCCTTGCTGCCCCGAACCCACAATCTTTTTACCCTCCATGTGTTTCTTGAACTCCGTAGCCGACGTTCCCGCTTTGCCAAAGACGACGGGGTCATGTTGGGCGTGGACTTGGGTGATGGTTTTGCCAACAAGATTTGTGCAAATGTAGTGGACAATTCGCGCCACTTCTGCTAACTCAGGCATGACTGGAACAATGTAGGATAGGACTTGAGGTGTATTGATAAGTTCGACGTTGTATATTTAAATATATTTTAAATATGATATTAAAATTGAACGAATGTGCCTTGTTTTGTAGATTGAATCTTGGGGCAGTACCTGATAGCTTACAGAAAAGCAGGTTAAATTTCCTTCACACAAAGCGCAGCACAAAAACCCTAATGACTCTTAACGGGAGGAATCGCTGGGGAGCAACACAGTAATCAGAGGCATGAGGGATTCCAGAAAATTTTGGGATCGTGTCGTTGTAGGCAGACGCATCAAAACTAAACCCTTGGAAGCCATTAGGCGGATTAGTCAGCAGGAGCAATGCCGAATTAATCGCGGCTTGGACGAACCGGGAATGATAAGCTCCTGGAATATTCGGGTTTGCAGCATTTTCCCTGTCACCAAGCATTTGATCGATTTGTCGTGCAGAATGTATTCGTCAGATGAATTTTACTTCAGGGATGAAGTGAAGTGGGACGCGTTCATTAACCACGTAATCATGTGACCTGACGTAACTACCTAGGTACCTAGGCCGAGAGGAGATTCGCCAACTTCCGACTTATTTCCTGTAAAATTTTACAAACAAATAGCCGGCTCGAATACACACCATTTTTACTATGCGAATTTATTCTCTTGCGTTTTTCAGTTTATAAAATATTCCTTACGCGTATATAAAATTTTTATCAGCCAACCCTGAGGCTGAGGGATTGCTATAACACAATCCCATCCGCAGCTGGCCATTGACAGATTGAACCGTCCAAACAAAGTTCATGCGGAATTGGTTTTGGGCTAAGCTGTCCCCATCAGACGACGTGCCGTCGATGCTGGCAAAAAGGGAAATGTCCCGGCCCCTTTCTCAGCCATATCTGTCTCCGCAATTCTGTTTCAATGAGAGAGCACTTAGAGGTGAAATACCGAACGCTACCCCAGCAAACCCAACCAGATTAAATTCTGTTTAATAAAAATAGAAACAATAACTAACCGGATATACCCCTTCCTCTGCATTATCTGTAGACTTCCTCCGCATATCACGATCTACAATAGACGACTCCATCACACAGAATTTAAATGCCCTCCTGACTCCCGCACAGAAAGGGTTTGACCTTTCTATAACAACAACCCGACAGACAGACTATGGAAGTAAAGGTCAAATAGAGCCGGAGAAATGCAAGTCGTTCCAGAATAATGTCCTCTTCCCTTCCTGGCAGAACCGATCCGACGTCCTGAATTATTGCGCTGGTGTGGCAACGAGCCCGGACCCGGACGACCCGGAACTTCTGCTGCGCCAGGGGGAATCGGCAAAGGATAGGGAAAGAGTGGTTGATGAGCGATTGGATCCGTATTCGGCAAGGTTTTTCCCGCGAGAAGCCAGGACGGAATCGCTAGCTATGTTGCTGAGAAATGAGCGCGGAGTTGAACGCATTATACGATCGAGGACGTGGGGATTGGTTACGGAGCGTTGTAGTGGGTTATCTGTAAGATGGGAGGATGCTTTGGATCGCTGGCGGGAGGAACAAGATCGAAAAAAATAACGGGAGCTCGCCCTAGCAGGTTTGTTCGTCATTCCCTTGTTTGGTCGACGACGCAACAAACGCTGCCTTGGATGTAGTGGATGCCGTTGGGGCTTCGATAGTGCTGTTAAAAGTACACATAAAAGAACGCTATACGGTTCTACTTGCTCTTTCTGTACTATATGTTGGTATAGATGATGATTGATATATGTACTGTACAAATATTCCGCCTTATAGACGAGCGACTGTAAAATTTTGTGTAGGCTCTCAGTCAGGTTCTTGGGCCGCAAGAGGGTTCATAGTAGAACAGGAACAATTTATGCAATTATAATTATCAATAAAGCCTAAAGATCAGAAGTATGGGAAATGCGACTGGAACGCTCAAATCAGCTGCAGCAGCGCAGATATCATCTTTCTCAACTGGAAGCTCTGAGGTACGGTACATGTACTAACCCCCTTCTCATTCCCTTCTTATTCGCTTTCTCCGTCCATGACTCCAGCTGTGGTAAGAACTCATTACTGGCGGGAGTCATAAGAGCGCACACTGTTCTCCAAGTTGCCTTGTCAGTCCTTAATTTTGAGTCACAATGACGGGCTCTGTTAAAGATTTTGAGACAGAAATTACGATCCAAACAGCATCCTGTCTGCCAATCTCTGAAGACAGCTGCAACAGCAGCCAGCCTTTATGAGACCTCAGCAGTAAGTCGCTGTTTGAGCCCCTACAGCCCTTCTGAAGCACTCTAATGTTGCATGGGTCTCGAGGTTAACCAGCTTAACCGGGCTTTAGTAACGTAACTTAGAATGCTCTGCTCATCACTGGCACCCGACGTTCTCCACCTGACCCGACAACG